TTGGAAGCTAATAAAAGCTATCGAACTAGATCTGTACTGTCTCGTGAAGTTCCTTGGGCTGAACCTGACATCCTTCTTTCTCCGGGCTTTTCCCCTTCTGGGTTATGGACTTCTCCTTACCTTAGGCAGGATGGGGATGGGGCAGATGTTGCTGAAGATGACCGAGCCAAGAGAGCCATAGACCCCATCGTTAATATGGTAGACGAAGCTCTTCTTGCCATCAGGTTCTTCCTCTGGGAAGAGCAAAGAGCGCAGTGCAGTCAGGGAGGCCTTGGGGGATAGAGGGCTGGGGCTGAGGGAAAGTCACCAGCCGTGTTCGTTCTGCACAGGTGGGTGGGTGGCTTCGCGCCTGACTTGCAGGCGCTCCCATCTGTGGGAAACCGGGCACCCTGGACTTCCAGGCCTTGTGGGAAAGCAGGACTGAACGTCAGTGTGCAAAATCAGAATTGCACTTTCCTGCCCAGCCACGGAGTCAGGCAACCCTTCGGCTGGAAGCGGGGAGGTAGCTATGCCCCAAAGGAAAAAAGCAGCAGCGTCATCCCCATTGTGGGCCAGGCTTTGGGTAAGGAACTGGGGAAATGCAGCTGTGGTCAGGAGGACCTTGCACAAATTCATCTTTTGCGTCAACTGCGCCCATTCCTGGAGCAGGAGGCTCTGCTTGTGGCCATTCCTGGCTCAGTCCCCTCCTGTCTGGATTATTGTTCTCCACGTGGAGCTGACGTGGAAGCTGCAGCTGGTCCAAAACGCAGCCAAGTGGGTAGTTACAGACATGCCTCAAGGTGCCCGTGCGGGGCTGGCTTTAGGCTAAGGTTGAGTGGGCACAGGGCTAGGGCGCCAAACCTTAGTGTGGTGCCAACACCGCCCCTCCTTCCAAAAACAAAGGCCACAAGAAAAATGGTTAAATTTAATGTCCTAATACCGTACACAAAATGCAAAATTGTATCAGCAGGAGGTGGAGTCATCAGTCAACGTGGCCTACAGGTGACATGTTCCCAAACTAGCCCTGCGCCCGTGTTATACTATTCTTCGTGAGCTGCCCTAGCTTCTGGTAGGCTTCCAGGAGCAATTTAGTCGACCATCATTTATAAAGACCAGCCGGGCACAGGGCCAGGTTATTTGCAGACCACTTGGCTCCTATTAATTCTGCCCGCGCCCACAGATCGGAAAGAGCCAGCATGCTCCTGCTCCTCCTGTCGAGCAGGGCCATCTGACGGGAGCCATGCAGCCTGCCTTCTGCATCGCAGGGCCTGCTCAGTGAAGCAGCTCACCCCCCGAATTTGGACAGCCCCAACCCTGCTGGCCTTCCGAAAGGCACCGAAGACCTGGCTGTTCCGGTGGGCGTTCAGGGAAACTGACTTCGAGAGATGGTTAAGAGATGTTTTAGGGAAATGAACTCCATCTTCAGCTGCTATGTGTCCTGTTCTGAGGTTGATTGTTTCATGACTTTTAAGTTGCAGAGTTGTTTTGAATTGGGCCGCTATATAAACTGAACAAATAAATAAAACTATAGGGTTGCGAAGCAGCTCTTGGCAAGCCTGAGTTTTGATCAGGTTTAGAATGGGGCGGACAGAGAGGAAATGTTGGCTTCTTGATTTCCAGCTAGTCATTTCTGGCTAGGCCCCGAGGGGGGCTGTAGCTGGGCAGCTGGAGGACCAGCACTGCGCCCCCAAGGAAAGTCTGGCAGGGCACCTGGTCAAGTGAGGGGCAGCGTGTTTGGATGGGTTCACACACCATGTCAAGCCAGGATGCGGCTTGTTTCTTCTAGCCTTGGGGTCTTCTGAGCCCCCAGTTGCTGGTGTGTAAACCCGGATGGATGGCTGAGCATCTGCAGGTCCCTGGGAGGAAGAAAGTCCACCTGGGAGCTCTCTGAACCTACCGTCTGGGCCCGGCTGGTCCAGAGGAACTTCCTTCTTGGCAATTATGTTGACCACCAAGGTAAAGGCTGAATTCACATAGTAGCGCCCCAGTTCAGCGAGGATCTCAACCCCACAGCCTTCGGGGAAATAGAGGTCCAAGGCAGAGTTGATCACAGCTGCTGTCTGAAAGAGTCCGGCGGGCGGGAGGGAGAAGAGCGGAAACCTCGCCATTATACGCACGCGCAACGGAAGTCCTGCCTTGGACTTTGCAGCTGTTGGGAAAAGAGGCAGCTGGGGCCAGACAGGATGCCACGGCAATCTGACCCTGGCCAACTTCCTGTTGGCTTGTTTTCATAAGAGCACATAGCAAGTAAGGTAGGAGGAGGTCCTAACCGGGATGCCAGTATGGCATAAGCAGGGGAGCCCTTCCATGCACGGCAAGGACCTGGTCTTGCCCCTTCCCACCCCACGGTTGATTCTCAAAGAGAAGCATTTGCACAAGCACTAACTCTGGAGAGGATCTCACATTTCGAATGGCCCTGGTTGTGCTCAGGAGCTCATTCTCTCAACAAACACGGCTAAGGGCCTTAGCCTGGCCAGCGCTTGACCCAAACGGCAGGCCAAACAGCTCTCTGGAATTGGAGCACCAGCCGGGATACCTTCCTGGCCACTCTTCTGCCCCCAGGAACAGAGGGGTTCAGGGGCCGCTAGCTTTGGAAGCCGAGCAGAAGCAGCCCCGTCTGGGGATCTGGGGAGATCAGAAGAAGAGGGCCTTCCTCAAGGACCAGACGTGTCCTGGGCAGCAAGGAAAAGGCAGAGTCCTCCGTGGCCTTCAGCTGAGGAAGAAATCCTAGGAGTGGAAATTCCTGGGAATCTATCCAGCCAGGGGCTCCGGCAGGGTGAGATGGTGCCCCGGAAGCTCCAGGTGAAAGCTTGCCCTGCTTCCTGTGCAGGCCCATACAACCCTTAAGAGCCGAGCCCCCCTAATCCCGGCTTCTCTTCTGGCATGGCAGGCGCCCTCCGCCTCTCCTGTCATTTATAATCTCAGTTCTGGGTCTCCCCTCCAAATGGCTAAAGCCTTTCTGAACTGCCACCCTCAACATGGACTACAAGTTGGACTACAAGACACATAATTCACAATTACACAGCTGTGCTGCCATGCCGTTGTAGTCCTGCACATCTGGAGGACTGCAACCTGAGGAAGGGTGGCCTCCTTTCATAAGGCCCTCCAATTCACATTGCATCTCTTTCATTGCACTTACTAAAATCAAATCAAATACAGCAATTACCACACACGGGTGCATAGCACCTGCATTACGTTACACTGAACTTGTTACTGCCTGTATTAGATTAGCTGAACAAGGGGCTCCGTGCTGTTAAAAGGACTCAGTCCTGCAAGTGATCGATGCCAGTTTGGCTATGAGAAGCCTTGTCCTCGGCTCTGCCATGATAGTAGGTGACAGATATAGAACACATCAGCTACCCGGGAACGGCGTGAGAAAAGGTGCAGGGGAGCATTTGAGGGGCTTCTGTAAAAGTTGCAGTGGAAGAGGATGGGAGCCGGTCCCTCACGCAGCAGCCGCTGCCAAGGCCAGGTTCCTTTCACAAAGGGGATCGTTTGACTCTCCTGTCAAGGACTGTGGATGGCAAGACAATCCGTTGCATTAACAGAATGCCTGGCGGGGTTTGTGAAGGGCGAGTCGCTTGAGGCACCTAGCTGGTTTAAAACAGTCAAGATCTTCCCACTCAAGCCTTGGAGAAATTTTTGCTAAGTTCACTATCCACGTCCAGAAACTTTGCTTAAGATTTGCTGTCAACGGCTGTCAATAGTTAAGAGGGACCAAACCTCGTGAGAGTTACGTTTAGCCTTAGTCAGTGACCACGGAGTCTCTGGTCTCCACCATACCGAGCCCTGCTTCTGCATGAACACGGTGCCACGCTAGGAATGCGCTTGGTGGCCTGAAACAACATTTCAGTTTGAATCACCTCCAAGTTACTGGAGCTCAGCTGGGCCCCATGGAAAAGTTGTGTCAATGCTGGGCTCGAATAGTTTTAGAAGTGTTGGGAGGCTCTCTGCACCTTTGCAGCAGAGAGAGGAAGTGAGAAGCGGCAAGCGGGACACAAAACGCAAATATTTAAGCGTGCCTCCTGCTTGAGGCCATGCCCTTTGATTCTCCAGGCTGATATTTTGGGTTTTTTCATACACCATTGAATTCTTGACTCAACAGAAATTAGAGAACGGCCCAAACTACTCCTGGCCAGCTGAGAGGTCTTTGGAGCCAACAATATGCTCCAAAAGCAGGAACCAAGCAGGAGGACTCCTACCTCTTCGAAGCGCCTCCTAGACTCTTCAGCACTAGGAAGTCCTCCTCCAATGTCCAGGAGATGCATCTTGTAACCTAGCTCTGCACCCATTTCCATGACCAGGTGAGCATCTGCTATGGATTGTGTGAAGATCTGAGGGTCGGCGCAGCTGCTTCCAACGTGGAAGCTAGAAAGGAAAGCAGATGAGTTGTCTGTTAACACTTACATTCACTTACGCAGCGAAACTGCAGGGTGCGCTGCTAATGGTGCCCTCTGCCTGACTGCCTGGCAACTTCCATGGGCCACCACTGACTCCACCCAAGTGTTGCTCGCTCCCAAGGAGTTGTGGTCCCCATCTCAGACACTTCCATGGCTTCCTTTCTTTGGCCAGAAAAGAGCACTATGGGAAGCTGTGAGATTGCCCAGTAAGCAGGTTCCCCCATGTCTCCTCCTGGGTGCTCTGCGCCTACCTGATGCCCGCCACCTCAATGTTCATCTGCTTTGCAATCTCGAGGAGATGTCGGCAGGTTTTAAGGGTGGCACCAAATTTCACACTCAGATGATTGGAGGACCTGAAGTCATCAGTAGCCAGTTGCAGAATCATTCTGGGGCAATGGGAGGAACAGACTTGTTTGGCAACAGTTAACAACTGTGCTCTACCTTTTATTTAACACTAGTGTTCTGTAAGGAGCCTTAGGTGCAGCCAACACATCTGAAGCTCTAATTCACAGACATCCAATAGAAGCCACAGTGACATCATGTGTGTCATGATGTCATTGTACAAATGACACATATGACATAATTAAGGTCATTTTTGAGATGATGCACATAATCTCTCTCTCTCTCTCTCTCTCTCACACACACACACACACACACACACACTGTCAGCCCTCCAAGGCACAGCAGACTAGGAAACCAAAGTCATGCAGGCTAACACTACTTTTATTATAAGGTTATAGTAACTGAATCTTGCAAATCTGAATGTGCTTCCCCCCTCCCTCCCTGTATCTTCATGAGAACTGGGGAGGGTCTTGTCTGAGATGTTTATTCGGGTTGAGTTCTGGCCGGGACCCAGACTTCTTTTATCCAACTGTTGTCTCGGCTGCAGCTCTTCCTCCGGTCCCACAAGGTCATTCCTCCTGCTCATTACACACACACAAACACAAACACACACACCCCTATGGGTGCCACAGCCTTACTGTCTACCTTCAGATACTGTATTGTGCTATGACAACTTTTGTTTAACTGTTGTTCATTGGAAAAGAAACTGAGAGTTGGCTGGATTTGCAGAACACACTAAGCCAAGGGGGTCCCGGTGGAAACATTTGATATTTTAAGAGCAAGAAAATGGTTGCTGTGGAACCAGCCACGAAGCCCTTTGTTTATTGGAAAGCAAACTGGTGAGGTTGGTTCTTTCCACACAAGGTACTCACTAACAACTCCCAAGGCAGCCTGTTCCACTGCTGAACAGCTCTTCTCCTTAGGAACATTTCTCCAATGTCCAACTGAAATCTCTTCCCTTGCAATTCAAGCCCACCATTTCTTGTCTTCTGGAACAACTCTGAACATTTCGGAGATCTGGCAGGACAGGCATGCTCCAGGTCCCCTCCGTGAGGGAGGGCCATCTGGCAGGAGACAAGAAGAGGGCCTTTTCTCCTGTGGCTCCCGCCCTCTGGAGCCCCATCTGTCCAGAGAGCAGATTTGCCCCCACCTCACTGGCTTTTCACAAGGCCTTAAAGACCTGGTTTTGCCATCAAGCCTGGGGCCCTTATGGTGTGGACGAGCCCGTTTATTGGTTATGTTAACTGGGATGATTACTAGCATTGTTGTGGGTTGGTTTTTTGGCTGCTATTTATGTTATTTATAATTTTGTTTATCATTTTTATTCTGTTTTTAACTGTTAGCTGCCCATTAGTCATCCCATTTTGGACTTCAGTACTCCTGGCTCTGCTTCAAATTCACTGTATCTCTCCCCCCACCGCCCTTTCCTTGAACAGAAAATTGGTTTATTTGAAGAGAATAGAGTGCACACATTTCCAGAAAGCTCCCAGCTTCTTTATAGCCAACCAGGAGGGATAAAACCTCTTTTTGCTACCTGGAAAACTTTCCAGGAGTCCAACAGCTCTTGTGGTCTTCTTCTTTAGTCACTAGTTATTGCTGCCAAGACCTCTCCCCCATTCTGTGCAACTGCCCCTTCCCGCATAATGCCCACAGATGCTGATGGCCTACCTGGCAGATGGGTACCTCCGTGCTACCTTCCCGAGCTCCACTTCATTGTCAAAAGTCATCAGCCGCACCCCTTGGCTGGCTGCGTATCGGATCAGGGAGATCTGCTTGCAGGGGCTGGTGCAGATGATCCTCTCTGGTGGAACTCCAATACTCTTCACCACGGCCATCTCTGTCTGGAGAGTCACAACCAATGAAGGTAAAAGCACTTGGCCATCTGAACTTGGGGATGGGGGTGATGGGCCCTGACCAAGAGCAGGCACTGACCCCCAAATTCCTGCACCCTGTGGAACCCCGCTGGAGAAGGGAAATTGCAAGGGGGTTCAAGTCCCCATGAAATTCTGATCTTAAGGGTCCAATGATTCAGAAAGCCAACGGTGGCCTTGAGAGTCAGATGCTCATGGAACTTTGCTTTTCTTTCCTACTGTTCTCACTGCAAGTGTTTTCTTGTGAAAAGTCCCTTGCCCTGCTCAGCTCTATTATCCACCCAAATGTGGCAAACCTAGGGACTTAGTTCTGAATTTCCCTCTTAATTACCCTCAGGACTTTCGCCTTCCAAGTCCTCTTTTGAGAGACTGATCTTTTAACCTTCCTTATTTTTTTGTTTTAAGTGTCATACGTATTTTACTTATGTTTATTGATTCTGAAGCTTTTTTTTAAAGGAAATGTTTCAGAAATAGTTAGCAAGACATTTGAGTAGATGGTGTCTGGAGGGCTTGCTGTCCACAGCCGCCTGGCCTTGCAAACTTAGAGAGAACTCTTGTGGATATGAACTGGTATTAGATTCCACCGTATGACAACTGCTTCGTTCTCAAAACACACAATGCATATTCCAAGTATCCATCCAGCCTCTCTTAAAATCCGTTTTTTTTTTTTTTTTCTGACTGCTTTTATGCCAGGTCTTTGATGCACCTAACTCCAGATGTTCCCAAGTACCAGGCGGGTTCCAGTTGTAATATTATTAGATCTGCCTGAAAGAAAGATGTTCCCATAAGCAGGGAGGGACCAGTTTCTGTCTGACACTGACTGGAAGGCATTATGAAACTGGCAGTGGCTGGACTCTCTATCAAGGTCCCTTGAAAAACAAGACTGACATTCACATCTGCTTTTCTTTCCACGCCAATAAGTGTTTGTGTGCTGCAGGACAGTTCCACAGCTCAGAGGACCTGCCTGGGCTGTGCGTGCAGCCTGCTGAAAAGGGAGACAACACAATCTCTCTTTTCCTACGGGGTGCCCAGAGGATGTGTTCAGAAAAGTCAAGATGGTGGCCACAACAGTGCAACTGAGACTCCCCCTCCTCACTTTCTGACTGCGCCCTGCCAGCGCCCCTGCTTTTCTCCACAGGCGCTTCTTGCCCCACCTTGCTGGTGCAGCTGAATCCAGCCCCCAGCCCTGCCAGCATCTGCACCACTCCCTTGCTGCCGTTGCACTTCAAGGGGTAGAAGGGCTTGACGCGGGGCAGGGCCTTGAGGAGGCGCACATGCTTCTTCACCACATTCTCGAGATTCGCCACAAAAAAGGCTTCTCGGCTGCCCTGGAGAGGAAGAAGCGCAATCAGCACCACCCGCAAGCTGATCCATTTTGCACCCGGCTCCTCGGGGGCCTCCCCACTTCCGTAAAGATTGGGCTCAGGGTTCTTCCCTTCAGATACTGTATCCCCAGGTCCCCAGCCAGCTCCAGATGGACGTCAGCTCGGTCACCATTACCCATCTTAGGAGTTTCACAAGATAGTTGTAAAAACCAAATGGGAAACTCTCCTTCCATTTCTGGGAGAGAGGGTGCAATAGTTGCACAAATTCTGAAATGGAAAGAGCTGAATTTTGAGTTCTGTGTACGTTGTGGAAGCCTGCATGATAACTACTCTTAGCCCTTACCTGCCCACATGGCTTAGCCACACTTGCCAGTGGGGACCCACACCCTGGGATGAGTACACATACACGCACACCCCCTCCATCCTTAGTGCATGGAAAGCCAATAGTCTTGGTCCTCACCGTCTGGGCCACCTTGAGGAGGAGACTCTCCAGGAGATCCCTAGTGGTGAAGCCCTCCTCCACCATCATGACATCCAACTCATCCAGGTACCTGGTCATTGTTGCCACCAAAGGAGGATCTTGCTTCGAAAGCCTCCGTCAGTAGGGGGGAAAGTTTTTAAGTATGCAACACACTGTGGAGGGAAAGCGAGACACCAGGAAGCTCCTTCTCAACCATCTGAGTTGGCAAAAAGCTCCTTCACAAGCAGTTACTCTTCCATCATGTGCTGGATGGTTTCCATACACTTAAGCAGGAAGATTAGAAAGGGTTCCCCTTCTTGAACTTGGCAGGAGATCACCAAGGCTCCCGGATTGCTACAGTAGTTTTCTCCAACCTGATGCTGAGGATGGCAAAAGACTCCAGGTTGGAAAAGGCACCCAGAAAATCTGGAGATCTATTGGCCAGCTTTTATGGTGAAGGGATCGCGAAAGCTTATGTCTTTTAATAAAATTAGTTAGTTGGAAAAGGCGCTACCAGGCTCCTAATCATCATCTCTACATGTACAACTAAAGACATTCGAGTGACTGTGATGATGCCTGGGGTGCAGACTGTCATTTTACAGGTCCAGCAGGTGAGGTTGACCTGAAGCTGTTCAGTGTATTGACCTGAAACTAGGTCAGTGTATTTGCAACGTCTGTTCTGCTTTTACTTCCTCTGACCAGATCCAGGTGGAGACAACTTTGTCTTGCTTGCTGAAATGTAGAATGCCAGCATGATGCTTTCCCCCACACCTATGAAGATGGTAACTGTGGCTGAATGCTTTGCACATTGCCTGCCCTTTTGTTTAATGGAACTTTCTTAAGTTGAATGGCAGGGCCAACAATGAGCCCCACTGGCCCCACTCAGATCAGTCACTTGGCTCCAGAAGCTTCTTAGAAGATGGGGGCACTGCAGTCCATGGCTTAGTTTGGAATTGCGGACAAAAGGGGTGTGTGTGCAGAAAGCAACCTTGCACGTTTGTCTTCTGATAAATAGGCACTTAATCTCTAGCCCTGTGGCAGCCATTGTGTAAATAGGCAGCCCCTCCCAGGACACCCAACTGCTGTCAAAATTCACCGGTGGCCTTTGGCACACAGCAGTTGCTGATTCCATTTTTATAACAAGAAAGGCTTTAGTGACCTTCTCTTTCTTCTGATTAGTGTGTGTAAAATAAAGGATTGTGGGAAAATTCGGGTTGGACCAGAACTGTTAGTGGAGAGATAAATTGTGAGGGTAACTTAGAATGTGACTCTGGAGTAAGGTTGCAAGTTCTCGTGGCATCCGCAGGGCTCCCTGTTTTTACGGATGGGTGGGAATGTTTCACTTCTACTGGCGTGCCCATGTTGGAAATGGTCATCCAAGTGAGTTTTTAGAAAACGTTCTAGAAACAAAGTCTGGGTTCTGCTTCCTGCTTTTTGCTCCAGCAGATTTCCAGAGAAAAAGAGAGAAAGAAATCCACAGGTCCAGCCAGTTCTGATCAGCGTTGGGAAGCATCAAAGAAGCCCCTGACAGGGAGAGGAGTCGCAATGGACGTCCACTTCGTTGGAGGAGAGAGTTGTGACTGCATGACCAGGAAGGGATTCGCAAAGGAAGAGAATCTGTGAAAACCCTCTGAGACCCAGCGTCATCTCACTGAGCATGAATTCACTCAGAGGGCAATTCTTGTTCCCAGACCAGCCCTTGGTCATCTGTGGGAATCCCCACTCCCGCCCTCCCGCCCTCCCGCACCAAGCCTGGAAGAAGAGAACTTGGTAATGAGTTAAATGGGGTAGCAAACTGGATAAAAGTTATTTGTGAAAGGGCACGTGTGTGTGTGTCCGCTGTCCTTTAAGTACGAATGGCAGTTCTTTTTAAAAAGTGTGCTTTCCTCAGATTCCCTCAAACCCAGGCCTCACCTGCCAGTCTCTCTTGCACGGCCCCACATGCCAGACAGAGAAGGGGGGCCTTTAACCCACATTAAAGCTGTTAAATGGGGCAGAGGAGGAAGGAGGCCAGCTGTTCCTGGCCTCTGTCCATGCTCTGTCAGTCTGGAGTGGCAGGATGCTCCCCCCCAACGCCCCTACCCCATCAGTCCTTGTCCGGGGGGGCCTCACCGTCCCGAAGCCTTCCTCCTTCCCGGGTGGCTAGGTGTAATGCCAGGGGGGTTCTCCGGTGAACTCTGAGCTTTTGCAACACCCCGAGGCGCAGTTGCTGCTGGGGATCCGAGGTCTCTGCAAGAGGGCGGACGGAGACAGGCAGGGTCAGGGCTGTGCAAGCTCCCTCTCGCCCTCCTCTCCTCAGCCACATCCTAAGCCCCCCCCCCCGCCCCAAGGCCAGACCCCTCTCCTCCCTCCACCCACCTTAAAAAGCATTTAAACGGATTTTGCCATGGGCTCCCAAGAGTAAATATAGGCTTCGGCAGTGGCTCCTCCTCCTCCTCCTCCTCCTCCCCCAAAGCCCACACCATGCAAAGCAGCACCGGCCAATCCTCCACTCCCCCCCCCCCCCCCCCCCCCCCCCC